ATATAGACGTAAATAGTGCTTGAAGTTAATTACGTCGCCTAGGTAATTAATGCAACAGGTGGGGGCCCATGAACCACTTTTTTGGGACCACGGACATTCACTGGGGGCTCTAATATAATGGGTGCTTCAATATATATAGGTGGGGGCTTCATATTAGCTCCATATAGCTTCATATTAGCTCCATATATTGTATTTTGTTTGTGCCTCTCTATTCGTTAAAAAAATGTGTTTCTATGAAAGGACAGGAACTATAAGTTCTTAGGGATCTTCCATCTTCCGTTTTTTATTTCTTTTTTTCTTTTTTGAATAAATCCGAGGAGCTCGGGCGCCTGCGAGGCTCAACGTAGGCCACCCCGCAATACAGGCATGCACCAAAAGAATTATGTTGCCTACCTACCAGGCGCTATGGGAGCTTGCACACACAGGCTGAACTTGGTAGGATTGTAACGGCGAACCCTTTGTCACTAGCTCAAATGAGCTCAAATGAGCACAAATTTTTGCGGAAGGGGGTCGGCTGCTAGAGGTCGTTCTTGTACACGGCGGAGTTATTGCTCGATCTCTTTCGACCCGTCACGGATACTACACTTTCTTCTCTCCATATTCGCGCCTGCTCTCCGAACTCTCTGCCACATACACGTGCAACACGCTGCAACAACACACGTTCAAACACCCGAGCCCCTTTTCTCTCCCAGGGCGGCCGGTCTACACGTTGTGTTCGTTGTCAGATCGCACCAGCGGTGCGTTGTGAGGTGCGGTGCTGCTGCTTTGCCTCGTGCTTTGCGTAGGGCACGTGTTGGCGCGGCGGCCGCCCTGGTCGATATTGCCTCACGCGGCCGCGCGGACCGCACACAGCTCTATAGTGCCGGCGCCGGCCGCGGCTGTTTGTGAGGGAAAGCATTCCATCCACCTCGCTCTACTACTACTTGGTGGTGTCGGACTTGCCGCGGCGACGCTAGCCGTCTATAAGGCAGGTAATGGCCGCTTACCCGCGTCACGCCGCCGGTGGTGGTGGTGCTGTGTGTATATGGGGCTCCGCCGCGCCCCACTGCGCCCCGCCCCGCCGCGGCTCAACGCCCTCCACTTCCGCGTGCCCCACTACGTGCTGGGCCCCACCCGGGGCTCTCGTCGTCGGCGGCGTGCTCCGGGGGCGTGCCCGAGCGTGCGGGGCCCACCCTGACCGGGCGGGGCGGGGCCGCCGCAACCACCTCGAGCAACACAGAGCCACGACGTTATATTGGGCGTCAGCATCACATCACACCTCGAGAGAGACGCGTAACGCTGTTGTCAGTCGGTCTGTTTTTTATGGCGGTCGTTTCATGTTAATACCATGTCTGGCGGCCCAGAGAGGGACCGCGGAGGCAGTAGTCTTCTTTGTCCGCGCGCGGAGAACTAGATGTTGTTCCGAAAGTTTGGACGCTGCTGTTTATTGTTGTTAATCAAGCAGAAGGAAAAGGGAGAGAAAGGTAACGACAGCACAGAGACGGCGACGACGGGAGAGAGCAGAGCAATTTAGTCATGATTTAGTTCTGGGATGATATTTGGCGCGGCCGGTGTAATTAGCATGCGGAATGAAGTCGTGATAACTGTACCGCCGCCGCGCCGCGGCCGCGAACCTGCCGCCGCTGACCCCAGCGCGCCTGCCCTGCAAAAATACTTCCAGGGCGAGAATTTCGCCGTCAAGCCCGCGCTCAATAAATAGTTATTATAACACCTGCCCAATCCCTCGCTCGGATACGTGCTTTATTTCAAAGGGAAATTTCTCGTGATATTCTCTGCCCTCTGCTGCTCATTCTCAAACGAAAACTGCCAGAGCAATAATTAGGACAAGTAGTACGGCCGACGACGACGACCTGCCTCAACGGCGACGCCTTGGTCGGCATGGCCCAGGTCAGCCAGGTGCTATAGTCCCAGCTGGCCTGCGGCCTGGCCCAGATGGCCACCGCTGTGGTTACCCCGAGTAGCACGCGGCGGGCCGCTGGTATGAGGTCTGCTCCGCGGCGGGCAGCACCTCGCGCCAGCCGCCCCGCAGCAGCAGCAGCGGCGGCGGCGGCCTAGACCCAGAAAGGGGTGAAGGGCAACGAGGGGGAGAGGGGAAGGGAGGGG